TCACGCCCTAAGGAATGAAAGGGCTCACATCCCACCAGGGGCTCATCCACTGAACTATAATCAGAACCCATCCGAACAATAAACTCTCATCACCCTGATCTCAGACACAATAGAAATAATCATGCTCGCTCGGAAGTCCTCAACCTCTAAAATCGTTATCCTTCACTTTCTCACAGATATCCCTTTTAACATTTAGCACCTGGTCTACTCTCGACCCTACAGTCGGACCTCCAAAGGCTAACCACTACATGTCTCAAAATGTCTCACCGCCTTCCCCCTCTCAACAACTATCTCGGTCCATTGTGACACACCAGTCACGAAATTCTCGCTATCCCAAGCGAATACTAAAATCCCCACTGAAGATCGGCTCACCCTTGACCTTTGTCGTCTATGACTCATTAGTTCCATGCATCTCACGGTACCTCCCGAACCAAGCACTGACCTACACTGGTCTAAGACACCAGATGACAACCAATATCCTTCAACATGGAACTCATCTCTGAATCTGGAATCTCATCTCGCCTACCCGACGCACTACCAGAGCCAAACTCAAACTCGAGAGTTTGGACTGACCCAGAGTTGGAACCACTCGTCCCAATGAACCACTCAACTCATGTCTCATGACCCGCAACCCATGCGTACCCCACTTATCCACTTCCCTTTGGTTGCGACAACCACTACCCAATTCAGAATATAACGACTCCCGACAAATATAGAGACCCCAGTCTCGCCCCTGGTTCGACCACCAGGCTCCGACAAACTCAAATATTAGGGCTACCCAAGCCTAAAACTCTTCTGCGTCATGCTCTGATCAGAGAGTACTTCATCACAACATTCTCTCGCTGACTAGTGGATACTACGGCTCCCCGCAGTATCATCACAAAATTCTCCATGGCCATGTCACCAACTCAGCGCCCTATGGGTGTACTCGGGTTTTGGGCTTCCTTGATGACAGCTCTTGGGAACACTGAAAATATGCCAGTAAGTATTAAACTTTTTCCCTAATCTATCATAATCATCCAATTAACGAGAATAATAATGTATGCATGCTGTAATTGCTCACAGATTCATGTAAATCAAAGATTCCTAGAGAACTTATCTCTAAGACAAAGTGTTCTTATCACAAATGTCATCTCAAATATCACAAAAGATATCCTAAGTCAGCCTCTTCAGCTACTCTCTGGTGTAGACATATTAGGAAACGCAAGCAGTGAATTTGGACATATGTCTAAAGGTGTTGCCGCCTTATCAATGGACAAAAAATTCATTCAAAGTCTCCAGAGATAGGTTAGTTTTGTTATTTTCAGTTGTCATAAATGATAGAAGTAGTTATTTATTATTTAAATTAAACATGCAGGAAAACAAAGGGGTTGAAGATTTTGGTGATGTGATCAGAGAAGGTGGAGGGGCATTAGCAAAAGGTCTATTCCGTGGAGTTACTGGCATTCTAACAAAGCCTCTAGAAGGTGCAAAAGCATCTGGAGTTGAAGGTTTTGTTTCGGGGGTAGGTAAGGGTATAATAGGCGCTACAGCACAACCTGTAAGTAGAGTCCTTGATTTATTATCAAAAACAACGGAAGGTGCAAACACAGTGAGAATGAAAATAGCAGCTGCCATTACTTCAGAAGACCTCCTTCTTCGCAGAAGACTCCCTCGCGTTATCAGTGGTGATAATTTAATTAAACCATATAATGAATACAGAGCACAGGGACATGTATATATATGGGAGTGGGACCCACAACATAAAAAAAATGTTGAATGACGACATTGCCCCTTACACATCTTTTTTTTTACACAAATGCAGGTTATACTTCAGCTTGCGGAATCGGGTTCGTTCTTTTTGCAAGTGGATTTGTTCAAAGTGCGTGGAAAGTTTGCTTTATCAGATGCTTACGAAGACCATTTCTCACTACGTAAAGATAAAATACTTCTTGTAACACATAGAAGAGTCATGCTCTTATAGGTATTATTTGTTATTAGTCTTCAAAAAAGAGTAAATTACAGCTTTGGTGATCCAGGGACCAAAATTGTTATGAAACATAAAGATAAGGACCAAAGTTGCAAAATTGTTATATATATTCTTTTAGAATTAATTGGTAATTGCACTTTAGATTATATGATTCGATTAGAATTTGTTTTTTTTTTGTTTTTTTTTTGTTTTTTTTTTTTTGCTTTTTTTGAAATAGATGTTTCTCTCGATATGCCACTTATTTTGACAGAATATGATATCATGACAATTATTCTCATAATATGATTTCATGATTCGGGGAATACTTGATCAAGTGACTTGAGTATTACATTATGTTAGAATAAATTAAAAGTCTTTAATGTCTAACACATTCTATTAGAATTTATAATTTATTCTTTTAGAATATACTGAAAGTTATAATATTTTAAAGTTGATCATGTTTTTTTTTTTTTTTGATTTAGGTTTTGAAGGGGTTGCCATTGATGTGGAAAATGAAGAAAACAAAGAGATCGAGAGTATTCTAGCATAATGTTGTTATTTTTTAAGAATTTTAATCATTTTTGTTGATATTCTTTTAGAATATGTATAATTATATTAAAATGTATAAGGATTTTAGTATGTAAGAATATGTATGAATTTATATTTAAGTTCGGATGTATAAGAATATATTAGAATGTTTGTTATTTTTCAACATCTGATTCAAGAATTTTGTTTTTCTTCAATAATATTCTATTAGAATAAAATTCTGAAAGAGCATCATTCTAACAAAAAATATTCTGACAGAATAAAATCGGTAAAAATTGAAATTGAATTAATTAAAAAATTCAAATTTTTTAAAATTAGGAGAATTAATCATCCCTAAAAATCCGAAAATTTCCTTTTATAAATGTCGTTAATTGTCCAAAATACCCTTTTGCTAAAAATTGTGTGATTATATGGTACATGTTACCCCGTTGTAATATCATACACTCTCAAATCATGTCCATTGATTAATTTCATCCGTTGGTCCAGATCTGTGCATTCTGGCACACAATACTTAGTAAAAACAAAATAACCAAAGTCTATATATATATATATATATTATATATATAATATATATATATATATAATATATATATATATATATAAGCTCAGTTCAAGTATTCTAACTAATTATTGCGTGGATGTAACAATCAATGTGAGCCAATCATTTCAAAACCTAAATAAGGTAAATTTTTAATGTTATCTATTGATTAATTTTAGTAATCAAATATATTTGTTCAATAATTGTATATTTAAGGATGTTATTTAGACTATTATTCTGTAAAAATATATATGAATCTATATTTGCATTACAATATTTGAATATATATAATGATCATGTTATATGTCAACTGAAGGTTCAAAAATGTTGTTTTTCTACAAGAAGTTGCTTCAGCTAAAATATGTACTCTATCAGAATATATTCTGTCATTTTCATAGAATATCGTTCTAACACAATTGAATTCTAAAAGAATAAAATCGAGTAAAATTAAAAATTATGTTAGAATTAAAAATGAATTAATTAAAAAAAAAACAGAATTCAAAATTAAAAGAATCAATATCCCTTAAAATCCGAAATTTTCATTAATTAAACATGTGTTTTCGAATTTAAACATGTGTCTCTTAATTTAAAGTTAGGTAAATCATTATTTAAAATAACTAAAATCATTGGTGTACATTCATCCCTACATCCACACAATAATTAATTAGAATAGAATAACCTAAGCCTATATATATATATATAAACCATTACTATCATAATAACCATCATATATTGAGTTTTTTTTTTCGAATTAAACTTCCACTTTTTTTTCTAAAATTTTCATTTTTTTCTAATTTGAACTTTTTAGTTAGCATGTCACCAGTAATATATTTGTTTCGGACAATTTTTTCAGAAAAGCATCGAACTTTTTTACGAAAAAAAACTTTCTGACTTTTAATTTTATTTTCTCAAGTAAACACTCCAATTTCAATTTTTTTTAGAAGTAAAAGTTGACTGTTTTTTCTTGAAAAAAGATGGACAAAGTTTTTATGATTTTTTTTAAAAGTGATTTTAATTGCCGATTAAATGTTTAAAATTAATTTTATGAAATTATTTATTCTAAAGGTAATATTATTGATTGTTCTGCGTCCATTTCCAAATCCAAAACTTGGGTTTTTGACTATTATATTTTTGTTCATTTATCGTGTAAATAGAAAGGACAATTTTAATCATTTTGTCGATATTTTGATTGTTTTCTAATTTTGCATGAAGCCTTCAAAATTTTAAGGCCAACCTGAATGTGGGCTTCAAAGAGAACTTGTAGAAGATATATGCCCTTTTGATAACATGTTTTTTTTTTTTTTTTTTAAATATCGTGATCATTTTTTTTTTATCTTGGACGATGTATTTAGTTAAAATTTTATTAGCCATCTAAAAAATGGTTTGTACCAACATACACATATACAAACCAATTTGATGCGATCTTGAAAGAAGGATGACGTTGTTTTGAAAAACAAAAGGGAGCAAAATTAAGGGCGTTATGACATCATATAAGAATATGCTTCTAGAAAGAACAAAGAAGGATGTAATTTTAGTGAACCAAAGTTATGACATTATAATATTATATGATAAAAGATAAGTTTCAAATAGATTATACATAAAAATATTCGATGTAATTAATAAAATGTGTAATATAGAATTAAATAAAGATTTGACTCGTTTGAGTGCCAATTGTCATTTTGACATTAATTGTTTCGACCAAATTCCGTACCACATACCTTATCCGACAGATTGTGACGGCTAAGATTTCATTCATTTGATTTTAATCAATATAATAAAAAAAAATTAACAACAAAAACTGGTAAATTAATTAAAAGATGAACATTTTAAAAGTTTCAAGATTCTTGATTAGATCAAAAGTGTACGATAATAACAGCTACTTTTATACTAGCGATAAAAAAAATAGAGTATTGAAATGCTCTGTTTTATGAACAACAAACCGATTACAACATCAAATCATATGTGTATCTAATCACACAGCTTCTCTGATTCACACCCATTTACAATTTTCATTTGAACGATTCCGGTAGCCAAGCTAAACCACCGTCCGACGGCGGCCGTCTCATCCTTCTCTCCAGATTCTGAAAACTCGATGACGGATCCGGCAACTGTAATGAAAATCTTACCCCTTTCTCGTCGCTTTTGCTTGATTCCACTCCCGGAAGCTGGTTTCAACCCTCCAAAAGTTTCCACCGGGATTACGATGGACGGCGAACTAAAACATCCGCCGCTGCCTCCATTTCCGGCAGATTTCTTCTTTTCTCCGGAGACCCTACCAGCTAAATTTTGGACCGAATTAGCAATCATCTTGAATATCTTGATTTTAATCTGCCCCCTCCTAGGTTGGTTTTGCTTGATTCCATGTTTAGAAGCTGGTTTCAACTCTCCGACGAGTTCCACCGGGGTTAAAGATCCGCTGCTGCCTATTCTGTTTCCGGCAACTTTCTTCTCTTCTCCGGCTACACCGTTTGCTAAATTCTGTAGAGATTTAGAATTTGTCTTGAATTCCTTGACCTTGAACTCACACCTCTTCGGCGGTGCTCGGTTGATCTTAGATTTGGAAGCAGCAGCTGCCATTTTTAGTGGCAACAGAAGATCAGAAGATGATTTTAGAGGAAAAGGGGAGTGAATGTTGTCATATTATATAGAGCAAGCCTGCATATCCTGATTGATAATGACATATATATATATATATATATATATATATATATATATATATATATATATATATATATATATATATATATTTGTTGTAAATATATATAAAGTTGTTTTATTAAAAAAGTAAATTAATATTTTTAACCACAATCATAATATATATCTTTATTATACCAACTAGAAAGGTTACCCCCGCTACGCGGGGGCCAGAAGCTTTCAATGTTGTTTCCGAATTGATAAATATGACAGACATAGAAAGTGCAAGGATGAAAAGTCCGGGCTTTGCCCCGGACAAAAAATGTAAAAGTTTTGACTGCAAGGACCAAAAATGTTAAAATGACTAAAGAATTAAAGGGGTAGGAATTAACAACTTTTTAGAAAAGGGATCAAAGTTGTCAAACCGTTAAAGTTTTGTGGCCAAACTTTAAATATTAAAAGGTTCCAAAAAAGTGTAAAAATATTGATTGCAAAGACCAAAAATGTCAAAATGGGTAAAGAATAATGAGCAAATTTGTCAAAAAAACATCCAAATTTAGTATTCCTAACTTCCAACAATAATACAGGGACCAATTCTGCCATAAAAATAGGAAGTTGAATGAAACACAAACAAAAGGACATGAATAAATTAATTAAAGAAGTACACGGACCGGATATGTAAATAAGGGGCCAAAGCTGGACAAAGTATGCCAACTTTACTATTCATTTCTTCCACAACTTTAATATATATATATATAATAATAAGAAACTCGTATATCATACTTATATAGTTATGTGTACGAAATTATATGTTGCTACTAAAAATAAAATAAAGATTACTTTTACCCATCAAATTTATCTTTTAGCGTAAGTAATTGTTACTTTAGTGGTGAAGATGTGATTTTTTTTTTTCTTAAGTTTAAACGACTAAGAAAACACAAATATACAGATGAAAGCATTGATCCAATTTTATCATAATCACTAGTATAATTAATTCTCAAAATTCAGTTGCTTGGCCTCCAAGTTTGAGTACTGTACATTGAAAACTCAATAAAACAGTAGGCATCTGCTCTATATGTAAAATGTTGATTTTTTCCCCTCAAATTTAACTTTGTACGAACAAAACAAATCAAGATCGTTCATTTAAATGATAATATTTTTGGGACGAAATGTGATCCGAATGATCGCATTTTCTTCTTTTATCGTAGAAAACCCATTAAAATTGCAAAAACGTCATTGAAAATTCCTAAACTTTACCTTTTTCTGACAAAACACTTTTTTTTTTTGACAAAAATTGTCATTATATGAACAAAAATTTGCGAGTAATCTTTAAGCTTTTTACAAAAAAAAAAATTAAAAAAAAGAAGAACAACAAAAGGAGACCGATTATTTTTTAGAGAATGGAAATTAAGTGGGTTTTTTTTTTGGTAAGATATAAACTTAAAAAATCAAAAGTGATCATATGTAACTTTAAATGTCATCAGCGTACAACTAACGTCATTTCTAAGGGAGGAGGGAGTCATTCCCTCCCAACCCACTGCCACATCAGTTTTTTTTTTTCTTCATCTTTTCGAATCCACAACATACGGAAACCATATCTTTTTCAACCCACTCAACCCACTCAATTAAAAAATAAAATACAAAACAATCAAGGTAAAATCCTAATTAGCAATAGAGTTACCGCCGGTACCACTCTTTCTTTAGCGGGTTGTTTAATTTGTTTCACTAACTCACATCATCTTCTCTCTCTATTTTATCTCTCTTATTTTCTCTTGTACCATGTGTTTTAAGACTTGTATCTTAGTTGTTTAATATTTTTTTTAATTGAGTGGGTTGAGAAAGATAAGATTTCCGTATGTTGTGGGTTGAGAAAGATGAAGAAAAATCAAAGAGAAAAGCTGAGTGGCAGTAGGTTCAGTGAGTTGGGAGGAGGGAGTCGTTCCCTCCCAACCCACTGAACCCACTGCCACATCACTTTTTCTCTTTTATTTTTCTTCATCTTTACCAACCCACAACATACGAAAACCCTATCTTTTTGAACCCACTAAACCCACTCAATTAAAAAAAATACAAAACAGTCAAATGTAAAATCTTAATTAGCAATAGAGTTATCGGCGGTACCACTCCCGCTTCAACGAGTGTGTTGATTGGTTTCACTAACCCACTTCATCATCTCTCTCTACTTTCTCTTTCTTATTTTCTCTTGTACCTTAGTTGCTTTGTATTTTTTTCAATTGAGTGGGTTCAAAAAGATAGAATTTCCATGTGTTGTGGGTTGGGAAAGATGAAGAAAAAGAAGAGACAAAAATTGATGTGGCAGTGGGTTCGGTGGGTTGGGAGAGAACGACTCCCTCCTCCCTAATAGGGTAATACCAAGGCTCTAAATAACGTAAGGCGTGACTTGGCGGCAATGTCAAGCCTTAAGCTTTTACGAGCCTTGGCGAGCCACGTCGTTTGTAAGGCGTGACTTAAGGCGGTAATTTTGTATATAATTCATATTTTTATATGTATTTTATACTATTATTCATTTTTATACATATATATGAGTCAAGGCGGCGTTTTGGTAAAGCTTGGCGGCACATACAAGCCTTGGAGCCATGACGAGCTTTTTAGAACCTTGGGTAATACACATAAAAAAACCAAAAGATTACCAAGTTATCGTTTTCTATTTGGAAGATTACGATCGTAAAATTTTACCAAAAACATTTTAAAACATAAAAATATATTTTTATCCATCAATTAATATTTCACTAAACAATAATTTAAAACATGAAAAATATATTTTCAAGATTGTTTAACAATAAACAATTTAAAAAAGGTTTTCAAAGGTTCATAGTTGATTAACTTAGTTAGGGAGGAGGGAGTCATTCTCTCCCAACCAACTGAACCCACTGCCACATCACTTTTTCTCTTTTATTGTTCTCCATCTTTCCGAACCCACAACACACGGAAATCCTATCTTTTTGAACCCACTCAACCCACTCAATTAAAAAAAAATACAAAACAATCAAATGTAAAATCTTAATTAGCAATAGAGTTATCGGCGGTACCACTCTCGCTTCAACGAGTGGGTTGATTGGTTTCACTAACCCACTTCATCATCTCTCTCTACTTTCTCTTTCTTATTTTCTCTTGTACCATGTGTTTTAAAACTTGTACCTTAGCTGTTTTGTATTTTTTTAATTGAGTGGGTTCAAAAAGATAGGATTTCCGTGTGTTGTGGGTTCGGAAAGATGAAGAAAAATAAAATAGAAAAATTGATGTGGCAGTGGGTTCGGTGGGTTGGGTTGGGAGGGAACAACTCCCTCCTCCCTTAGAAGACACCATATTATAATTTAAAAAAATAGTAATACTACGATCAGGGTTGGCCATGATGAGGTGTGAGGTTTGCGATCGTCCATGACCCATGTCATGAAGGGGCCTGAAAATTCTTTTACGCATTAAAAATTTTTTGTTGCTAATCAGTTGCTATTCCTTTGCTAATATGGCGTTAAGTCGTTGCTAATTCATCCCTAATCCATTGCCAATTCATCCGTGCTTACGATCCTACTCCGATCTTACCCAAAAACAAACAAATATGATCAAGATTAATTTACCTTACTGAGATCGTAAGATCCTAAGATTATGATTTTAACAACTTAAGAAAAAACAATATATTTTGGCTATTTTTAGGTTTGGTCATTATATTTTATTTTGTTATGTAAGCCACATTTTTTGAAAGAAATTTTCACCACAACTATGACCAATGAATGATTTAGCATATGTTAAAGGTAACATGTCTTTTTATTTACATATATGAGAGTCATATCTATTTCAAGAAATAAAATCTTACTTCCGTAAATGTTTTTTATTTACTAGTTTAATTAGTTGTATACATACCATGTAGATCAATGATAAGACATTTCAGAAAGTTAGATGTTATTTTAGGTCATCCAGATCAGTGCAATGCTACTAATCTTTCAATTGTGCCACATCAGTTTTGCAATGACTACCCACATCAGTGCAATAACACTCATCTTTCAAAAGTGATCCCCACTACTACATCAACAATTACTTATATATATATATATATATATATATATATATATATATATATATATATATATATATATATCTTAGTTTAACAAAAAAAAATATACATTCAATTGGGCTTTAAATTCTTAATTGTTTTTTCGTAAATTAGTTTATATATAAAACGTAATACAAATTAAAATATAAATTTTTAATAACAATTCAAATACATTTGCAATTAAGATATATATATATATATATATATATATATATATATATATATATATATATATATCTTACTATCTTATTATACAAACCTTACTATTTCTAAAAATAGATTTAAGACGTCCAAACCGTTAAACAAATAGTACAAACATCCAATGCAATACATATCATTTTTCAACATGTTAGTGAATTAAACACATTTTAAATGGCTCCCGTTCATATCTTCAAATTGAACATGTCAAAGATGAACGGAATTCCTCATGTTTTGCCAATTGAATCGGTCAAATGAGAATGCTCTATAAAGCCGCCTTTAGCCACATATATCCGCCACAATAAAAAAACCACGAGGCTTGATTTGCTTGAGGTTTTTAGAAACCCTGGCCGTCACCACCATCTACACCATCCACCATCCCCAAACCCCATCAGTGGATCTAGACTCAACTCATCCTTCTCTTCTCACTCATGGCCGGTGATTTGGGGCTTTATTTTTGTGGCCACCTCCGATAAAGAACACGTCGGTTTCGACTCTATGCAGCTTCATGAAACGAAGTCACCGGAAAAAATGATTTTATTGTATCTGAACATTGAAGTATCTATACCACCATCATACATATACATTCACAGTTATCGCACCAGTTGTTTCTGCTTCCCAGTCGCACATGGTCGAATTCTTACCAATAAAGATATGGTTTTCGTTCATCTCTAGA